AAAATCAATGTGATTTTTAAGCCTGAAATTACTGGGCCTAAACTTTAAAAGTATGTATGTGTGACAGGAAAATTGTCGTAATTCTTACATGTAAGAAGTAAAAACCAAAGAGTTTTTCCTCACAAAAACAGTCATATATTAGCTGGAGGATATCCGGGTGGGTTCACATGTTTGGGTCACTCTTTGTTTGTCCAAGGTGACAGACCTGGTTTGAAAAAGCCTCCCGTATTCCTCAGATGTGTCTAAAGACATGTGGCTCCAATTACTCTCTGGTTTCTTTGAACAACAGAAAAGCTTGTTGAAAATTTATAGAAACTCTAATGATGTGTGTGACGGGTCAGAAGGCGAACTTCAGGAATATTACGCAACAGATGTGTGTTTAACCATGTGTGCAAGTTGGAAGAAAGGTCCAAGAAATAGAGCAAAGAAATATGTATTTTTAAATATTTTCAAATGTCTGCTGAAAAAATGTGACAAACTTTTTAATGATTAGTAATTTGAACTTGGAAACATTAAAACATTAAATTTTTACGCGAGTAACTTTAAGGTGTTAATTTTTCATTGCACAGGTTAAAATTTTGAATGCGATTAATTTTTTGCTATACAGAAATCCCAAGTCAAAACCTTTGTATTGACTATTGTTGTGTGCAAGTTGTGCAAAAGAAGTTGGTCTGTCACCAAAGCTATTCAAGCCTTAAATACTAAACCAGTGCAAAACATGTTTTTCCATTGCTAATGTCAGTATCCACATTTCTAAAAAAGTATTTTTTTTTAAAGAAGCTATGTGAATCATCCAGGGCTCCTGAAACACATTCAATGTCACATGCTGTTTTTATTTTGTTTTTTTAATTATGTTATTCACCTTGAAACGCCTTGCTGCTGAAATGTGCTATACAAATAAAATTTGATTGATTGATTGATTGTTTTAAAACTGAATAAGTATAACACATTGCACAAATTGAAAAACCTAAATAACAGATTAAAGACAATAAATATATTTGTTGTTGAGCTCATGTGTCTATTCATTCAATAATTCAGCATCAAAAAGACTCTCTGGACTGAAAATATTGTCTATTTTGTGGATATAAATAGGTAATATTTATATATTGATAATAAAAATGTGTTTAGTTAATTATAGATTCTGCAAGTAAGTCATACCACCAGAAATTTTACTCGTACAGTTTAATGGATTGTAATATGATATACAGAAAGTCAAAGCAGACAAATAACCAAAAATATGTAAGAGAAATGAAAAATATATAAACAGATAATTCAAATAATTACGAGGAAACACAAGTTTGCATGGAGGAAACACAGAAACAAATATATCCATCCTGATCTGGCAGAAAGGTTGGATTTAAAACCATAAGAATATACATACTGCACCATAAAATCAATTCCAAAATGCATATGCAGCCAATGCTGAGGCTTCAAATATCGGTGTGATGTAGACTCACTTTCTGGGCATTGTCAGCATTTCTGTGGATGAATTTTCAAAATGATTGATATTATATACTCATCTTATGTCATTACATAATCAAAAAAAGTTTTAAAATACCAACACCTATACAATGCTGATATTTTTTTTTATACTGTCTAGTCATAACATAACAAATTAATGCATAAAGTGTTGACCTGACCCAAAGTCACACACATCACTTGTCTTCTGAACAGAATAGCCCCGAGCCGTCAGCAGCAGCAGCAACAACAGGAGTTATGATAATAGCATCCATTTTAGTCATTGTGGTAAAATTGTTTACATAATACTAAATAAAATGAATCGAGCTTTGGAACAGGACTTCTACTGAAATTTTTGTTTGTTAATGTGAGCTCTTTGAATTGATGTTCGTCAAGTACATCCCACAGATGGCCAGTTTTAGAGATATTTGGGTCAAATCTGTTCTTTTTAAGATCACCAACTTTCGCAAACCATTTTTAACCTTTTAAAAATAATATGTGAAGGTATATCAGCGCTATCACAGAATGCAATTTCCAGCCATAATTTTAATTTGCCCACCACAAAGTTTGGGCCTCTGGTAGGTATAAAACTATCATCAATATTACCCAACGTATCAATTTGTATCCAGCAGCTGTTCACAACCTTTTCAAATTAAACTATACGAACGAACCAGTGTCTCTATGTAAATTTTAGGCCATGTTATGCCTTACAGAAAACTAAATACTTGAGCCACAGAGCAGTCTTAAAGTAACCTATAGAGACTGAAGAGCAGTAAAAACAATTTACTAAAAGGTGAATCCCGGGTTCTTTAATGAAGGTTATGGGAAACCGCAAACAGGGTGGGGTCAGGACTCTAGACAGTTTCCATGTGCTGAATCAATTCATAAGAAGAAAATCTCATTAAAGCCACCCTTCCTCTTAGCATTATCACCAATAGGAAACGCATTTAAATACTACATTTTGTCTCTTTGAAACACTCGGTTTGCAATCTGCTCAGGAGAACAATAAGAGAGAGTGATGAGTGAATGGGGGAGCGCATATCGACATTTTCTCTCACCTCTCTCGTCTTAATGCATCTCATTTTCCTTCAAACCTCTTTTGTTGAGCACCTTTCCTTCCCCATCAGCCTTCATCAATCTCCCTATCCTTGCTGGGTGAAAAATTACACCCATTACCTTTGACATGTAGTACACAGAAATAGCATTCTTTCTACCAAAAAGCATCGGGTGAAACAACTTACGGGGACTCATAAGATAGCTGTATGAAGGCAGCGTAGCATAAATCACTCCCAAACATCTATGCGACTTTAATACAGCAGGCACAAGTTAAAAGTGGGTAAAATGGGGGTATCTCAAGTGATGCAGGTAGAGTAAACTCAACAATGGCATGTGTATATTGTTTATCATGTCCCTACCTCCTGTGGACATACAGAAAAATACAATTTTGGTCACCATTCTTTGGAAAAAATACGTTAATCCAAACAAACTCAGGCAGATTGAATGGAGAGCACCTTCACAGAAGTTCTTGCCTCAGATTCTCTAATGAATGTTGGTTTGTTTTTATATTCAGAATCTCGTGTGTGGTGTGGGTGAGGCTTTTCTTTGTTTTCTGTTGGCCCTGAGCCTCCTGCAGCTGTTGGTGGGCACCACCATGTCCCCTCTGATCATCACAGCATAAAGCTGTGAGGGGTGCTAGTAATGGTGACTAATTGGCAATGTGGGGACTGTCTGAGCTCACGACGAAGATTATGTCACAGTCCAATGGTGGCAAAGAGAAAGTTGTTATGTAGCTCCTTCTTTTTGGTGAACCCTTGATTTAGTTTGCCAGTTTTCTCTTATATTCCAATCCTCAAATGGTCCTTTCTTGTCTTTCATATACACTGGTCAAAAAAATAAAGGGAACACTCAAATAACACATCCTAGATCTGAATGAATGAAATATTCTCATTGAATACTTTGTTCTGTACAAAGTTGAATGTGCTGACAACAAAATCACACAAAAATCATCAATGGAAATCAAATTTATTAACCAATGGGGGCCTGGATTTGGAGCCACACACAAAATTAAAGTGAAATGTTCCCTTTATTTTTTTTGAGCAGTATATATATATTTTTTTATTTTATAAATGTAAGCCTTTTCATGCATTTTTTGTTTCTGGCTTTTCAATTCCTGGGCTTTGTTTATTGTTTTGCCCTCTTATTCCTACTGTCAAATGCAGAGAATATAACACTTGGCCATTCAAGCACATAAATGCACTCTGTTTACAGTCACTGTCAATGACTCAATGCAACCTGCCTGGGGTTGATTATATAATGCCCTGTTTGATAACCAGGATTTATTAGGATCTATGTATGATAGAATTCAAATGAACTGTTTGCATAGTACCTCAGGACAACATTTGTTGCAAATTGCTGGCATGTAAATCACCAATTATATAGCAATTTAAATACCAGTTCAACTGAATTGAGCTGTCCTGCTAGAAGGTGAAGGCAAAGTATTCTGCATCCTCTAACAGGATTTCTTGCAGCGTTGCTCTATATTTAGCTCCACCCATAATCTCATCATCTGACCACCTACCCTGTCTCCTCCAAAAGCATTTACATCACCACCGTGTTTCACATTGGAGATTGTTTGGTATTCACACTGAAGTGGAGTTATGGTTTTCTTCCACATATTTTTATGCAGCCCAAACAGTTTGATTCCCCGTTTGGCTCGTGGCAAACTACAAAGATTTATTGTGGGGTTTTTTTAAATACTCGCGATCTTAAATACTTGCTGTCAGAGGGACCAGAGTTACCATGAACTTCTTGACGAACATCTTTCATCAAGAAACTACTTTGTGTTGGTCTGTCATATATAATCTAATTTTTATGTGACAGACCAGCTGTCTCATTACAACCAACACTTTTATGCAAGTAAAGATTTTGGTTGTAAATTAACATAAATTCATGACGATGTGAGACAAATAAAGTACAGTGACTCTGCACTCTTCACATAAGCATGATAAATGATGTGAACACAGCAGTTACCTTAAGCAAAGAACAGCAGTAGGTTTTGCAATTTACCCTGCATAGCATTAAGGTATTAATTACATTAGGTTCATTAGGTTGCAGGGGGTTGTTAGGGAACCTTTAAAATCTGCATGTGCAGCACCATTGACTAATCAATTGCCATTACCATGTTCACAACAAAGGTCTGGACCCTAGGGACATGCTGGCTGTTGGTATAACTCCTCCTTAGAGATGACATGATGCACTGCAAAAAAAACAAAAAAAAAAAACTTTCTTGCATCTCCAGAGGGATGATTTGAAAGTTTTAAGCAGGACCAATACATACAAACAGTGACTGGTTAACAATAACAAACTGTTCTGCACTCTTGTTTCATTACCAAATTGCAAAAAAACAGAAAAAGTTTAGGACACAGAGCACTCGAAACATACAGCTGCAGTAGAAACATAGTGACTCGAACAGATGTGATTATGAGGATTAGGACTTATGTCTCTGCCTCTGTCTCCCCGTCGCCTCTGACCCTCTCTCTTATACGAGAGGGAGGCAGGACGGCAGGGAGACTGGCAACAGGTCTCACTGCTCTGGGGGACAAACTGTACGTCAGCCAACAAAAAACTATTTCAATAAATCCGCACAGAGACATTATCTCACATGGATACGGTCATCAGTTAGTGACTAACAGCTGGTTCCTCGTTTTATGTGGTTTGGCTTTTATTAAGGAGGACACATTTTCAGAGGAATAATAAAGATGATTAAGGACATGATTCAGCACGCGAAGAAACATCCAGGGGTAGGTTGGATTACACGTTATTTGTTGAACCTTAATTTTTTCTGAGACATGAGACTAGACAGAATTGTAAGGATTTTTCCATTTTGAAAACTGTAGGATAAATACAAGCAGTATAGACAAGTAGTATGGACTGGATGCATAATTTTTATGCACAAAACAGTTTCTTTTATTTACTTGGAAACATTTTTTTTTTAGAAAAATAATATGCAACAAAGGTATTAATGCTTCACATATAATGTTTGAAATATATTACAATATAATGCAAACATGACAAAGAAAAGTACAAACAGTATGAACTAGGGGGGTTGGCAAAAGTAAATTTTTTTTTTTTTTTTTTTGCCATGACAACACCTATTAATGAGATTTTTTATTTTTTTTTACCAATTACAACAAACCCAACACAGAAAAGGGGTGAACTCTTCTGAAAGCTCCAGATGCTCTGGAAACTTAAAAGACCTTTGAGTGTGAGTTCCTAAATAACATTAAAATGTTTGAAACCAGCACTGTGACAGCACATAATTTCCCTGGCTTCTTAATTTGCTTTACTATCTTAATAAATAAAAAGAAGAAAGGAAGACACAAGCTGTGTGCGCTTGTTTTTTTTTTTTTTTTTCCCCTCTGTTGCCTCAGAGCTATACTGAGGGTGACCCAAATTCATGGACTGACAGGGCTGGCTTGGCAGTGCACCAGAAAAGTAATAAGGGCAGCAACAGTATCGAACCCCTGCGAGTATAAAACACTTCCTATATTGGTCAGGCTGGATGGTGAAAGGTGAACCTCTCAGTTTGTGGCTCAGTGTGAAGATATCAGAACCATGCAGTAGATGACTTTCTACACACGAGCATGTCTTCATTATTTGCTCCCTGTTTGTGTGTATGTGTCAGATCAAAGGTGACCTGCTTCTCTGTGTGTATGTGTGTGTGTGTGTTTGCTGCTTGTGTTTACTCTGGCGATGACAGAGCTGATGCTTCTGCACTCAGCACACTGTGTGTGTGTGTGTGTGTGTGTGTGTGTGTGTGTGTGTGTGCGTGTGTGTGTGTGTGTGTGTGTGCTCTATGAACCAATTTCCAAGGTCATAGAGTCTGTAGAGATGCTTTGCACTAAAAGTAGGGTTTTAATGTTAAAATAAAACACTTTTGTAAGTGGTAGTTTCAGATTTATCATCTTAAACTCTGTAATATGATAATAAGAAATTGTCTTTTAATTTTCTGCAGATAGTTTCAGTGAGAGAGGTGTTTAAACATGGAATCTTGAATAGCTTGAACTGTGAGGAGATGAATGGCTTATGGACAGACAAATGGATTACAGATGATAAATCAGTGGACAAACTGATGGATGGATGACATGTGGACGGGCAAAAGGGCAGATGGGCAGACAGAGAATGTGCGATCAAGACAATCTATAAAGCAAACGGCAGCAAAAGGCAGCAGCACATGTATGCAGGAGAGCAAATACAAGCCAGTTGACTGATGTTGCAAAGTAGTAATAAGTGTTGCGTATGAAAGGTAAACGCTCAACTTAACAACAAGTGTGCTGCAGGAGTCATAATGGTGATGAATGAATTTAGAGATGGATGATGGGTATTGACAAACTAATGATGGATGGATTTCAAAAATGCTTCCGAACTTGTTTTGAAGTGGATAAATCAAGCTTACAATGGGTTTCTTAAATTACTTTCTAAAAATCAACTTAGAGCTAAAATATGTTGACATAGTTAGCATTTCATAATGTTCATTTGTCTGATTAAAAGTACTTTTCGAGAACATAAAAATTGTGTTGCCCTGATGATCCAAGGAGTTAAATGTCTTTAACGGCTGTAAGTGAAAAATCATCATAAATAACAGAAATAAAGGCTGAAAAGCATCATTCTGGGTTAACCTGTATTATGTGTTTCAATTAGTAAATTAAGTTATGTTATGTTAAATGTTCAGCATGGGAGATAGCCTCTTCCTGTTCCATCATGACTGACCACCAGTACAAAAGTCGAGGTCCAGAAACACATAAATGAGCAAGTTTGTTGTGAAAGAAATTGACTGGCCTGCACAGAGTCCTAACCTCAACCCAGCAGAACACCTCAGGGATGTATTAGAGATCCAGGCCTTCTTGTCTGATACTAGTGTCTGACCTCATAAATGCTCTTCTGGAAGAATGGTCAAACATTCCCATAAACATTTCTAAACCTTGTGGAAGAAATTCCCAGAAGAGTGTAAGCTGTTTTAGTGGAAAAGGTTGGGCCAACATCATGCTAAACCCTATGGATTAACAGGGGATATTACTCAAGCTTATCTGTGTGTGGAGGCATACAAGTGATATCATTTGGTAATATAGTGTATTTTAACCTGTAGCCTTCACAGTTATGAACATGGGGCTAAGGGAAATGTTTAATCTTTGAATAGGAGTAGAGGTAACACTGTGAAATGGGTTAAGCCGAACAGTAAAACGTTGGATTTATTCATGAAAAGATTTGTATACATATAACTTTAAACACATTGGTATTAAGGGAACACTCTGAAATAATTTCCCTCATTCTTGTGATTATAAAGTAAAGGTTATTGTAGCATGTTCCTTCTTTTCTGGGAGTAGCGTTTCCTCCAGCAGTCCTGTGTGGTTCTGTGTACCTGAGGGAATGCTGCTGTATCCACCAGAAGTTTCAGTGTTGTTAAGAATTAAAGTTTTATCATTAGACATCCTTCTAATCAACAACTAGACGAGTGGCATTGCATTTAGCGGAGGACAGATGTCTGGATGCAGCTGAGTAGAGACATCCTTCAGTTCAACCTGATCAAACTGTCAGCTCTCTACAGCTTGACTAGATCTGTGTGTGCCGCAAACAGATGTTGGCCAGCGGTGTGGCTCTCCCTCTGATTTGTGCACGGCAAAAGCAAGCAAGAAACATAAGGCAGTTAAGTGTCGACAAATAGATGCGGCGCGGTTTAAGGTTTCTCTCACCTAAGCTTAGGTGTTTAAGATGACAAATCACATAATCCTCCTGTCCCCTTAACATGCTTTTTTATTTTAATTCCTGTCTGAGTCACCAGTCAGAACCTCTGCACACACACTTGCCCACAGTATGTGTCTAAATTCACCGAGTTTGTGTGAAAGTGTGTGTTTTGCTCAATCTGACAGGTATAGTGTTATAGGAAGAAAATCTGCTGCAAACACACACACACACATACACGCACACACGTGCAGATGATGGTTCTTGCTTCTTTAGTGTCCTTGCCTTTTCAACCCATGCTGACAGTGAGCAACCTCACACATGGCCTGAGCTTCATGCATATGCAAAAGGGCAGAGAGAGGTGAAAGAAGAATGATAATAACTACCTGTATGCGTGTGTGTGTGTGTGTGTGCCTGTCTGTGTGTGTGTATGGGTTCCACACAAATGCATGTTCATATAGTCAATGGAGTGATGGGATGCACTGTTCTTATGACATTTATCATAGTGGTCTGAGACTAATTCGTCCTTTCTCTCCTGTCTTCAGTTAATCCCTCAGTTTTTCTTCATGACTCTGGGCATCTCAGGTGCCACGCTCTACCTGATCCGTCTGGCAAGAGGGCCCCATGTCACGTAAGGCTGCCTGGTGTAGTGAATTTACTTCTGCTGCAGTTTGTCTCCAAACGACCACAAACTTTGATGGGGCAGTATTATGTGTTTTCCAGCCACATAGTGTCATTTTATAGCACAGTGAAGAAACTATGTTAACTTTAGTTGTTGTAAAAATGCTATTTGTATCAAATATGACTTAAAAGAAATTTGACTAGTTACTAAACACCTTGAAATTGGACCTGTATCTCTTGAGAAACTGGTCTTTCTGAAACTCTGCCTTCAGGAAGTCATCACAACATCCCTCGTCTATTAACCCTTTAGCAACATTTTCACCGACGGTGCAGTGACAAGTAGCTCGCACAATGAGCTCAAAAGATCTTCGTAACTTGATTAGCATGTTTTATATTCTTTTCCTTCTCAAAGAGGGGCTGAGAGAAGTAGGTCTCAGAATCACATTATTTATATCGCCAGGAAAAGGAAGTCCTGGATTACTTAAATTCTTAGAAAACATTTGAAAATGTGCGTCAGGTCTACTCTGTAAGTACTGACATGAGTTTCAAGTGTGTCATCTGTAATTTGGACCAAAAAAAACAAAAAAACAAAACAAATTTAATATATTTTTTATGCACTGGCAGTGTGGCTTTATAGAAAAAAGTATACAAATTGCTTTATGCTGCTACATTAAAAACGTGAATTTAGTATGATTTTTATTTCATTTTACATTTTAAAGTACTTCACCACAGGTGCCTATAAATGTTGAAGGTTGGTGTACTTGTGTTAAGACGCCAAATCATGAATTTGTAATATTGTTTTGCTCCTTGCTTATAACTGTAAAGCTACTGGTTGAGAATTTAGCCGGCACTGCTCCTCCCTGCAGCACTGACGCAGACAATCAACATAAAATAATCACAAGAGGGAAAGCTGACCGACTTTCTCATAAAAGCAAGTGAAGTGTGCACAACAACATCTGGGTAGGTCAGAGGAGCAATATGGAGCTCTTTGGCCATGCACCATTATCAAACACATGCTGTGTAAAAAAAAATAAAAAATAAAATAAAAATAGATTAGCAAAGTTGCCAACTCAAAAGCATGGGGGTGGTGGTAATGTTCCGCTTAGGGATTACGAAGTAACTAACAACACAGGATTTAAATTTACCTAAAATAAAATGGAAGGATAGATTCTGCTAATGTTGGCAGAATCTAGGTCCAAATGTTACGCAGTCATTAAAGGAAGTGAACTAAAAGCCTCTTCAGCAAAACACACCCAAAGCTGAGCTCATAATCCACAAAGAGCCGCTTAGACTAAGCAGAAATTTTGTCTCCCCCATCTGGCAGTAGACAGATTACACAAACGTCTTCCTTGCAGTCCAGTAGCATGGATTATGTTTTTTGAGGAAGAAGTTTGATCATCTTTTCTCATTTTCCCTCTTTTTACACCATGATGAACACAGTGAGGCTTTCAAATGTGATTGTGTCCATGTTTCTAATTGTGTTGCTGTCAAATGTCAACACATGCAAGATTCAAAATAAATGGCTGGAAATATGATAATTTTTATTAGGCTACGAGTTCAACACGAAGAGGTTGATATATCACATTCTTCTTCTAAAACATAACAAAAAGTGAAGCTTTTGGAACTGCCCTGACTTTTTTTTTTATACTAGATGTGCATGGTGTTTAAAACATCTGCCGCATATTAAGTACGCATCAACATCACCTGCACCTGCAGAGGTTGCAGGTGACGTCAATGAATCAAAAGAACTTCAGATGTTTTTAGCTGCAAGAAAACGGAAGTTAAACAAAAAAAGCAACAATTAGTGTCTGAATTTTAAAAGTAAGTGTTTAGATTTTTGCCAAGTGCCATCCATTTACAAGATACCGATAAGACAAAACAGTTTATATAGCAACTAGTTTTTTGCATAGCAAATTTAGCAGGATCACCATATTACACTAAGATAAAAATAAAGTTAAAATAAAAAAAAAAACCTTGCACATACAACAGATGTGTCTGAAAACACTGAAGTGTTTTATTTGGTGGCACCGGGTTTACTGCCTCCACTGCAAACAATAAACCTCTACTGTGTATCACCTGTTCACTGTAATGATCAAAGTAGTTTAAAGATTTACAAATTTTCAATTTGCATAAACAACTGTGATGTTTTTTTTTTTTGTATAGTGTTACTGTAGTAATTTCATCTCATAGTTATTTATCTCCTCGGGTTAAGACATTAAATACGTATGATCCTTCAAACAGATTCTCTTCTAAAAAAAAATAAATCCTGAATTATCTTTTTAAAATGGAATGATAAGCAAGTAGTAAAAATACAAAAAAAAAAAAAAAAAAACATTGAATTTTGTGTGCCAGAGCCACACCAATTGCAGCGAACTCTGTGACCACTCACGTAGAGTAAATGTAGATAGATCACGTCCCATTTCAGGCCACACAGAACCTCTTGTTCTGAGGGTCAGCCATAAAGCCTGACCTCATCACCAGCTGGTGATGAGTGCTGTGGTCAGTGGCTGCCTCCCTCTCAGGCTGCCCAGTGTTTGTTGTAATGGACACACAGGGGGACAGACGCGCTCCTTCTGCCATCCCCATTTGTTTGTGCTTTGGCACCGTAATGTGCTGCTGGAGGGGGAAGTGGAGGAATGGACTGTCGCTCTGGAGTGCTGCGAAATCTAGACTTTGGTTAATGAACAGGGAAAGGACTGCCAATTCACTGGGCTGACTTCATCTCATAATCACTTTCTCCTCTCCTGACTTTTGTCTCCCTTCAGTTTACGAGTCTCGTTTTGCCTCCGCCATTCTTCTCCTTTGTTTTCTTTTTCCTTATTTGTTACATTATTTGACATCTTGTAATTCTGCCCTTAGTTATTCTGCACCCATTCTTTTATTTCCTCTTACATTTATATTTTGTTCTCCCGTCTTCTCTTTCTGTGAATCATCCCACATTTGCAGCTTCTGGGACAAAAAGAACAACCCTGAGCCCTGGAACAAGCTCGATCCGACCTATCAGTACAAGGTGACAATTCCCATCCCCCAATTTACAGCTGCTGCAGAGAATCCTAATCTTGACAAAACCACCACTGCTTCTCTGAGTCACAGAAAATCTAGCAAACACCATAAGTGTATTGTTTTTTTTCCTAAATAGAGTAAAATTATTTAGCATTAGCAAAATATCACAAGAAGATCGCACCTACTTCAAACTTTTTGTCAAGTCTGTTTAAACTTGATCTGAAAGAAATAAGAACACCTCTAAAACATTTTTACATTCTGTCAAGTTACAACTGCAAACATCCATGTAAATTATGACTTTATGTGTTGCTGTAGGAAAATAGTGCACAGTTTGACATTTTCTTTAAATGAAAGTCTGAGAAGTTTGTGTAAAGAAGCTCTTAATGTCACAGAGCACTGTTCAAACCAGTATCAGAAAATGTAAACAACAAAATAATGAAGTCAAGTTCAGTTGATTATTTATAATGATTGAAAAGGTTTTCTATCTAAGCAAAACAGCAGACTGCGCTGAGTCACTTATTTGCAGCTTTCAGCTCCTGGATGAGCATTTAATATGCATACTCTCATATTAAGTATGCAGCAGTGTCACATGCTTAACCACAGTGAGAGTTACAACAGCATAGTTGAGATATAAGTTTATTATATTATAAATTGTAGAGACATACTACAAAGGACATGAGGCCGAGGTGCTTTTCATACTTTTGTCCCACACAACACACTGAGGGTTGTTGTTTTTCTGCGATAAAACACATAAAAGTTCAAGAGGTATTACGTAGTACTTTGCAAGGAAAGGTATATCTGAAGAAACAAATGAACACACTATTTACTCAGTATAAAGAAACCAACCAAACCATTAGATTTGCATTGATGTAGATGATCTGATTTTGGAGGAAAGATAACTTTTCTGAAGATTTGTAAAGTCGGGGTTCTTGCCAGAGGAATAAAAGTTGCTGCAGACAAAAGGTCACGACAAAACATGTTTAATTCTCACTAGCAAGCCAAAGGTCGCACATCGAAATTCCACCAACGTCCAAACAATAACCATAATGAGGATGGGGGAGTGAAAGTGAAGAAAGGGGAAAAGCGTTAACTGTTTGATTGATCATGAAAAGTACATGTAGCGAAAATAATCAGTGCAATAAAAGAAAAGCAACCGTTTACAAAAAAAAAAAAAAAAAAAAAAAAAACTGAAATTTTTCCAAACTGTTGGTTGTGGGAAAGACAGGGGGGGGGGTCTGGG